TACAGACATACTCCCCCACCTACATATGTACCCCTTAACTACATTTACACCCCCACCTTTCATTAAGGCAGGGATGGGCAATTCCAGCCCTCCAGCTGTGTTTTAACTACAAAATCCCAAGAAGCCTCTGTCTATGGGAGTCATGCCTGTAACTGTCATTTTGCAATGCCTCATGAGACTTGTAGTTCCACAACAGCTGGATGGCCGGAGTTGCCCACCCCTGTACTAAGGGCCTATTCATACATACAGCGTCGACCTTTGTTTTTCTGCACAGGGTCAATGCAGATCACAGCTAGAACACATAGGATACCATTACTTTCTATGTGCCCCGCCAACACAACACTGGCGTGATGTGCGTTGCTGAAATATCCGGACATGCTGCATATTTTCTATTGCACTGGATGGCATTGCAGGTCAGCGCAGCACACCACACCATGCGGGGTGGAGACCTTGAATGGAGTACACTTTGTACACTGCCAATAAATGTAAAAAGAAATGAGTAATGAGCATTGTAACAACACAAGGCACGGCAACCCATCGCTGTGACCAAGTACACACCTCGTTTTACTGTCCAGCTAGTGTGAACAAGCCCCAAGAGAGCTGCCTGCACCCCCTTTTCACTAACAGAGCTGCTGGGGAACGCTTCAAGACTGCATGCCTTGCATTAAGGCCTCACTATAGTGAAAAATCTTGTATTGTGGAGAACTGTATATGGGCAATACTGGTAATGATACATAAAATGTCTTTCTATACATTTGTCCTCATCTTTACATGCAGACCAATCTGTCCAGCAAGCATGATAGTTACAAGGCTTTAAGAACTGACAGCCAGACCTTATCTGTATGGTTTAAATAATTTTACAAATGGGAAGGGAAACTAAAAAACAATTGCGTCAATGCTGCCGGCAAGCTTCATCATATGTCATTTTTTAGTCTGCTTTTGTTTTATAAGCACAGTATTTAAACTCCCCTTGAATACTTTGGAGCTGACCGGCAGTGCTCTGATACAAAGAGATGAATGTGTGCTAATCGATCACCTTAAGTGCAGCCCAAACTGAGAGCTGCCACTGGAACCTGCACTGAAATGACTCAAACAGCATATATCTCAATGTTCTGTACGGATATGGGAACTCACTGAACGGCATCAACAGCTAATTTAACACAAAGTAATTTTCTTTTTTGCCTGGGTTGCTATTGATATGTACACACATCAGGAAGCTCTACATTGCACAGCTCCCTAGTAGTTGTATCAGCAGCATATCATTCTTCATCTGGGTGGGGAGGATGCCGCCTTGTTAAAGCTTGCAGAACAGTCAGGATTCTAATCTTCCCTTATAAGGGAGGAGATAGTGAGGACACCGCAAGCTGCCACATCTCAGCTGTCATACACCAGACTCACCAGCGGGGGGCGCCAGACGTCCTTATAAATGTTAGACAATACACTATACTGTACACTCTCCCCTGGTAGTACCAGCTACACGGCTGTGTGACATCATGGAGCATGTTTAACTTGCTGGAAAAGAACAGATTTGGCTTCTTTTTCTTCACAGGCATGGTGAGGGACACTGTTCAATATCTGTATGCCACCACTAACATTTCTGAAATTTATAAGCACAAGCATGCAAAGCCAGTATCAGAAAACCCATATCTAACTAAAGCAGGGCTGGGCAAACCCGGCCCTCCAGTTATTGTGGGACCAAAAATCCCACGAGGCATTGCAAGATTCTCACAGCCACAGGTATGACTCCAGAGGCAGATGCATCATGGGATTTGTAGTTTCACCACAGCTGGATGGCCGGAGTTTGCCCATGCCTGAGCTACAGCGAAAAGCCATTTGCTCTGCAGGTTACAGCTATATGCTTCGATCTGTATTCGTACATGTGAGAATGTTTATTTGTGTGCGTTGCAAGGCTAGTGATGGTGAAGTGTAATCTTGACTCGTGTAATCTTGCTGGAATGTTACTCAGCAAAAGAAGAATGAATATAAAAAGTAAAAGTGATTTTTACATTGAATATCTTGCTTTACAAGCGATGGATTCCCTTTGATAGGACCCATCTGGAGCCATGATTGTGCTGACCTACTCCTGAATCCCTCCACACCATCATATGGTATTCTGTCCACACGTACAATTCCTAGAACAATCTGAGAATGGACAAGCCAGTGGAAGGCCTGTTCTCAGACAAAGGACCAAGCTTCCACCATGTAATGTTATCTCAGGCTCCTTACTTCTTCTTGCCAGATTAAATTATTAGATTTCATTGTGTATTTTGGACGGTGCAATGACGGAGTCACGTGCAGATCTGAGATCTTTTAAAAGACCAGATATTTTTTTCACAGAAAAACATTTAGAGCTTTAAAAGCAGAAATAGCACATTGGCAGCTCTTACCTGTAGCAGTGTTCACTCCGCCGACATTGATGTCGTTTTCATCATCAAATTCAATGCGGACACCTTTCCCATTACCGGCTGACACGCCGCACCCTCCGCTCCGGCACAGTGATATGGGAACTACTCCGTAGACATAGGCTAACATAATAGGCACACCGATACCTTCAGGGTAAAGGATTACATTTATTAGTAGACATTCATCAGTACTTTGAAGAGAATATTGAGACTTCCTATTCTCATGAGCTGACAATCTAATGTATTCAACGTTGGCCACATGTACCCTGTTTCCCCGAAAATAAGACCTATCCCGAAAGTAAGACCTAGCACTATTTTTCAAGATTTCGGTAATATAAGACCTACCCCGAAAATAAGACCTAGTTTGGTGGTAGCATGTGTGGGGGAAACTTGAAGAGCAGGAGAGATGGTATCAGCCTGCAGGACCATACTGTATTAAGGGGATGACAGGGGACTCCCCCTGGCCAGCGCAGTGACAGGGAGCACTCCAGTACCATACTTCAACTGCTGTCCCCCTGAAGGCACTGCTTAATGTAATGGTACTGTACTGTAATGTGTACCGGTAAATGGTACCATACTTTACTGGCTGTCCACTGTCTGATGTCCCCACTGCTGCACCGCTGGTACCACTGTCCCTGATGGCAAAGCATGCCAGCGCTGCAGAAAGCAAGGCTGCGTCGGCGGAGGGAGCAGAGCCGCATTAGCCGATATTCCTCTACAGCGCTGGTTACTGTGACAGGTGGAGTGATACCAGATAACTTTAGATTGTTGTACATTTTGTTGCACAGTATAAAAAACAAAATAACACATCCCCTGAAAATAAGACCCAGTGTGTTTTTTGGGGGCAAAAAAATATAAGACAGTGTCTTATTTTCGGGGAAACACGGTATTACAATCGCATTATACAACTATGTAGTGCCTACCCGAAATAATACAAACTGAATGGAATGTTTTTGGTTATTATCAGGGATGCACCAATACCATTTTTTCGGTATCGAGTGCGAGTACTGATATATTTATAGGTCGGTACTCGCCAATACCGAGTACCGATACTTCCGCTAGCATGGAGCCGGCTTCTCGGCCAATCAGGAAACCAGGCGGCGTGTCATTAACCACCGCGTGCCTTCTTGATTGGCCCGCTCCATGCTGATTGGCCGGTCATTACCCACCACCTGACTTCCTATTTGTCCAGAAAACCAGCTCCATGCTCCCTCGTGGCACTGCCGTTCAGAGGAAAGTATCAGAGCCTTTGGCCGAGTACAAGTACTCGCCCCAAATACTCGGTATTGGCAGATACTAGTATCGGTGCATCCCTAGTTATTACACAACTCTGCTAAATAAAAATCTAAAGCAACCCCAGAATTTCAGAGAGAAGCCAACTCGCCTGTTTGTTTTTGGGTTGCGGGAGGAACCTACACATATACATGGACAGTGTTCAAACTGCATGTGAACAGACACAAACAGTTTTAAAGGGACACCGACAAACAGCAGTGACATTACAGCTATTCCTATACCACGGCCATAACACAACACGGCTATCTAAAACAGGCTGACAAATATATGGCAAAGCAACCTGGGGTGAGTTTATGGTCAACGGACGAAAACAAACGTTTTTTGGTGGCTCTCAGCTTACACCGGCTGTGTGCTCTGTTAGGGTTTTAGACACAAGAGAAACCACTAAACCGTTTTGTTTGCTCACTTATACGACAATGTATTTTCTGGACTTCTGTCAGGATTTAATTGCCATTTGTGTCACCATTGGAGAGAAGATCTTATTTCCTGTTTGGTCACCTTGAGAGGAACTGAAGTGAAAAGACAAGGCCACTGATAGCTATGAAAAATTGACTGAATTCGTAGCCTTTCACTATTCTATCCAAAACAAAAAAAGTTTTGGCAAGAATGGGGCTTGGACCTGGCCAAAAACTGCACTCTGGGGAACAAGCACACTTGTAATGGTCATGCGCGAAGCTTAAAATAGTTTTCACGTTCACCCACCTACAGTTACAGCAGCAACAACTGGAGAAACAATGACGGACAAGGTGACTCCACCCGCTATTGCCAGGTTCCTCTTGTGCTTTGAAATATCTTTACCTTCATAACGATTATGAATCTGTGGAAAAGATAACAGAATTAGATTCATGTAACAGACACTTGTGGTATACTCTTTCTTGCCAAAAAGGCCCTCCCAGCCCAGCAGTTACATTGAGGGTTCACTGCACCCCATGTAGAACATTCCCATACATCTGTGATCAACTCTTTTTCCAAGCAATGGAAAGTATTAGGTGAGGAATATGTTCTTCTTAGACGCTTTTTTTGTGCATAGTAAAGCAGTGAAGCACAGGTATTCATTTCAGGGATTCTGCTCGTATGGTTAGGGTTAGGGTCAGGACCTTAGGACCTAGTCATCTTAAAACTGAGGTGATCAGATACTGGTAGACGTCGATGCTGTGGACCCCCGCAGACACCCCTACTTGTCCCCAGATTTGGGCAAAAGAACCGACTGGGAGAATACATTTTCCAGGCCAATCAATATTGTTCTTCTAGAGGACGTCCAGCAAATGGGAGCCGTCAAATAAAATACACTCTCCATCACTCTAAACGGTGACTGACTGTTCAATGTTCAGACCTGCTGACTGCTAATCTCCAATAGTATCTCCTAAGTCCTTGGTTCTCAACTGGTGGGTCGTGACCCAAAAGTGGGTCGCGACCCCATGTTCAGTGGGTCGCCGCATGGCTTCCACTTTTCTAGGTGAGAGGCTCCCTAGCCTCCCCATAGCACAGCACTGTTCACTCTCACACCAAGCAGCTATTCAAAATATGCTGTCCGGCGCCAAGTGTAGATTTGAGGTGGGCTGGGGGTATGGCAGCAAGGGAGCTCCATCCATACGTGCATTGCTTACAGCTTCCTCGCATGTCCTGTAGAGGTGCCTGGACCAGAGTGACATCACATTCTGGCTCCCGGCACCTCTACAAGGCACGCATGGGAGCTGTACAAGCAATGCACATATGGATGGAGCTCCATCACAGCACAGGAACCCACACTGTTGTGCGTTCCATTGCAGTGTGACTTAGGTCGCGACTTAATGACCGTGGGCAAATGTGGGTCCTGAGGTTACACAGGTTGAGAACCACTGTCCTAAGTGAATCAACTTCTCGCTTCTCTATCAGAAAAGAATTTGGAAAATTTTATTCAAACGGGTCAAAATACCACAAAGTTGTATGTTTAAATGATTATAGCTCCACATTAAGAAGTTAAAAACATGTGACAGTTGAGAAGGCAACACCACTCCCTGATTCTTACTCAACAGGTACTAAACGATGTATAACCGCACACGAGGCAATGACTGAAGATAAAGATTTCCCAACACCAGGGTGGATCTGATCACAAACAGACGCCCAGCATCTCATTTCCCTACATGACGATCTAAAACGTGCCTTCAGCATCAGAACATAAAAGGGAATTTATCAAAACTGGAGCAGACAAAATCTGGAGCAGCTGTGCATGGCAACCAATCAGCTTCTCTCTTTTATTTTCACACATTAACTGAACAAACTGAAGAAAGAAGCTGATTGGTTGCCATGTACCGCTGCTCCAGTTTTGATAAATTCCCCCCACTGCAATTTTAGAGGGCCATATACAGGTGAAACTCGATTAGAATATCGTGCAAAGTTAATTTATTTCACTAATGCAACTTAAAAGGTGAAACTAATATATGAGATAGACTCATTACATGCAAAGCAAGACAATTCAAGCCGTGGTTTGTCATAATTGTGATGATTATGGCTTACAGCTCATGGAAACCCCAAGAACCCCAAATCCACAACCTCAAAAAAGTAAACGTTTTTTGGTGGCTCTCAGCTTACACCGGCTGTGTGCTCTGTTAGGGTTTTAGACACAAGAGAAACCACTAAACCGTTTTGTTTGCTCACTTATACGACAATGTATTTTCTGGACTTCTGTCAGGATTTAATTGCCATTTGTGTCACCATTGGAGAGAAGATCTTATTTCCTGTTTGGTCACCTTGAGAGGAACTGAAGTGAAAAGACAAGGCCACTGATAGCTATGAAAAATTGACTGAATTCGTAGCCTTTCACTATTCTATCCAAAACAAAAAAAGTTTTGGCAAGAATGGGGCTTGGACCTGGCCAAAAACTGCACTCTGGGGAACAAGCACACTTGTAATGGTCATGCGCGAAGCTTAAAATAGTTTTCACGTTCACCCACCTACAGTTACAGCAGCAACAACTGGAGAAACAATGACGGACAAGGTGACTCCACCCGCTATTGCCAGGTTCCTCTTGTGCTTTGAAATATCTTTACCTTCATAACGATTATGAATCTGTGGAAAAGATAACAGAATTAGATTCATGTAACAGACACTTGTGGTATACTCTTTCTTGCCAAAAAGGCCCTCCCAGCCCAGCAGTTACATTGAGGGTTCACTGCACCCCATGTAGAACATTCCCATACATCTGTGATCAACTCTTTTTCCAAGCAATGGAAAGTATTAGGTGAGGAATATGTTCTTCTTAGACGCTTTTTTTGTGCATAGTAAAGCAGTGAAGCACAGGTATTCATTTCAGGGATTCTGCTCGTATGGTTAGGGTTAGGGTCAGGACCTTAGGACCTAGTCATCTTAAAACTGAGGTGATCAGATACTGGTAGACGTCGATGCTGTGGACCCCCGCAGACACCCCTACTTGTCCCCAGATTTGGGCAAAAGAACCGACTGGGAGAATACATTTTCCAGGCCAATCAATATTGTTCTTCTAGAGGACGTCCAGCAAATGGGAGCCGTCAAATAAAATACACTCTCCATCACTCTAAACGGTGACTGACTGTTCAATGTTCAGACCTGCTGACTGCTAATCTCCAATAGTATCTCCTAAGTCCTTGGTTCTCAACTGGTGGGTCGTGACCCAAAAGTGGGTCGCGACCCCATGTTCAGTGGGTCGCCGCATGGCTTCCACTTTTCTAGGTGAGAGGCTCCCTAGCCTCCCCATAGCACAGCACTGTTCACTCTCACACCAAGCAGCTATTCAAAATATGCTGTCCGGCGCCAAGTGTAGATTTGAGGTGGGCTGGGGGTATGGCAGCGAGGGAGCTCCATCCATACGTGCATTGCTTACAGCTTCCTCGCATGTCCTGTAGAGGTGCCTGGACCAGAGTGACATCACATTCTGGCTCCCGGCACCTCTACAAGGCACGCATGGGAGCTGTACAAGCAATGCACATATGGATGGAGCTCCATCACAGCACAGGAACCCACACTGTTGTGCGTTCCATTGCAGTGTGACTTAGGTCGCGACTTAATGACCGTGGGCAAATGTGGGTCCTGAGGTTACACAGGTTGAGAACCACTGTCCTAAGTGAATCAACTTCTCGCTTCTCTATCAGAAAAGAATTTGGAAAATTTTATTCAAACGGGTCAAAATACCACAAAGTTGTATGTTTAAATGATTATAGCTCCACATTAAGAAGTTAAAAACATGTGACAGTTGAGAAGGCAACACCACTCCCTGATTCTTACTCAACAGGTACTAAACGATGTATAACCGCACACGAGGCAATGACTGAAGATAAAGATTTCCCAACACCAGGGTGGATCTGATCACAAACAGACGCCCAGCATCTCATTTCCCTACATGACGATCTAAAACGTGCCTTCAGCATCAGAACATAAAAGGGAATTTATCAAAACTGGAGCAGACAAAATCTGGAGCAGCTGTGCATGGCAACCAATCAGCTTCTCTCTTTTATTTTCACACATTAACTGAACAAACTGAAGAAAGAAGCTGATTGGTTGCCATGTACAGCTGCTCCAGTTTTGATAAATTCCCCCCACTGCAATTTTAGAGGGCCATATACAGGTGAAACTCGATTAGAATATCGTGCAAAGTTAATTTATTTCACTAATGCAACTTAAAAGGTGAAACTAATATATGAGATAGACTCATTACATGCAAAGCAAGACAATTCAAGCCGTGGTTTGTCATAATTGTGATGATTATGGCTTACAGCTCATGGAAACCCCAAGAACCCCAAATCCACAACCTCAAAAAAGTAATTATTACATGCATTCAATAAAACAAGGATTGTACATAGAACAATATCGGACCTCTGAAAAGTACAAGCATGCATATGTACTCAGTACTTGGTTTGGGCCCCTTTTGCAGCACTTAGTGCAATTACTTTTGCACAATATTCTAATTATTCGAGGTTTCACCTGTAATGCCTGATGAGTTCTTAACTACTATAACCACTTACATGTAACGCCATTGCTGCCTAAAGTAATGTCGGACAAATCCCAGGATCCAGGTAGCCAATACTCCTTCTGCAGATGGTGCCTAACTTTCCAAGTTCTCTCTAGTTCTTGTCAATGGAACTGGCTCCTAAAAAAGTCCTGATATGTCCGGTACTGGACAGACTGGCTCTTGAATTCTATATGAACTTCTCCACAGCTGGCCTAAAGTATAGCCACCACCATTGACTGGTCACAGCCGGCTCTATGGTATGCTGAGGAGGTGCACTGGAAGTTGGAGCAAGCAGTGGAGATATTCTTGCCATTATATTATCATCCAACTGAATAGCTAAAAGGCAAAATCCCCCATGGATTATGTGAGGGTATGGAGGCAAAGTTCCAAAGTCAGGGAAGAGTTCAGACTACCTGCAACCTGACCAAGTTTGGGGGACCCCAGTCACTGTCGACTCCCAAGCACTGCTGTTTGTAAAATAAAATTCAGTGACAGGTTCTCTTCTGCCTCCTAAAAAAAAGTAAAGACAAACCTTTTTCTCAGCTTTGTTTCACATTATAAAATGTACTGTGACCCAAAGTCAGCAGATAGAGGACGAACGCCCACTATATGCTGACAGCACAGAGCCATGTTACAGCCGGGGAGAATTGTCAGGATTCATTACACCTGCCTAAGTGACAGCTGAATCTGCCTCTCATAATCCAAAGCCAGCTGTGCCCGCCCCCTCCCATGTCTGTCCCTCCAATGAGTGCTGAAGAAACAGAGGGGGGAATCCCTGCAGGGAGTAGTGACTGGCAGGGAGAATACCATGACCTGACCTATCAGCGGTTACATGATCGCTCAGCTCTTGCTCTTAGAGCCAGCTTTGGACATTTGCAGAATCCCGACTCTATACTGCAGGGAGAGTATGTTTTACTCTCCCTGCACTTTTCTTTTAACCTGCCCACGCTAGAACAGACCTATAAAACCATTATTGCATCCATTGACCAATGTAATGGTAACGGCAGGTGAGACAGGAGACACACATTCCATTACATTAGATCGCTACACAGAACAATAAGCTGAACAAGTATCTGAAGCACTTTGTGCAGTGTGATGAAACCTTGTGGCATTTACAGAAATATGTGTACTTCCTGCTGATAAGCACCTTATTATGTCAATGGTCATTACATTATGATCATCAGTCAACACTTCGGAATGTTGTGTGGAATATGATCTACCGTATAGGACATTTTGAATCTGTTCTTCAGTAATACAAGACATATACTCTCATTAAATGGGTCTTTCACACAGTTTCTGAGGAGTGCAAGGCCACTGGATGCCCTAGGAACAGCTACAAGATAGACTGACAGAAATCTATAAAAATCAGGTATATTATTATTGTACTAGAGCTGATACTGTGCCACGCTATGAAAAGGTGAGACATCAATTTAAAATGATTCACAACACTCCAATGAGCAGACAGCCGCACTGCTTTAGCAGAAAATGGCAGGAAAACACCCGCTGAAAATTTCAGATGTGGAGTTGATGAAAGGTAAAATTAAAAATAACATAAATAAAAGAAAAAAAAAAAAAGACAGCAGGCCCACACTATCTGCCAAAAGTGAAAAAAAAAGTGCCAGCGGAGTATGAAGTAGCATCACCAGAGAACAATAACCAATATGGGGTGCAGGATGGAAAGAGAACGCCACAGTACTTCCTGACCAAAGAGCGATTAAAGTGAACCTGTGATCAGATCATGAATAGCAAAGTATTTACAGCAGTAAAAACGCTTTAAAACAAGTCCTCATTACAGTCCCTCAAGAAATTGTCCAAACGTTTCTTGAACAAATCTACACTCTTGGCTGAAATCACTGCCGATGGCAGTAGTGCCTTCAGCATCAGAACATAAAAGGGAATTTATCAAAACTGGAGCAGACAAAATCTGGAGCAGCTGTGCATGGCAACCAATCAGCTTCTCTCTTTTATTTTCACACATTAACTGAACAAACTGAAGAAAGAAGCTGATTGGTTGCCATGTACAGCTGCTCCAGTTTTGATAAATTCCCCCCACTGCAATTTTAGAGGGCCATATACAGGTGAAACTCGATTAGAATATCGTGCAAAGTTAATTTATTTCACTAATGCAACTTAAAAGGTGAAACTAATATATGAGATAGACTCATTACATGCAAAGCAAGACAATTCAAGCCGTGGTTTGTCATAATTGTGATGATTATGGCTTACAGCTCATGGAAACCCCAAGAACCCCAAATCCACAACCTCAAAAAAGTAATTATTACATGCATTCAATAAAACAAGGATTGTACATAGAACAATATCGGACCTCTGAAAAGTACAAGCATGCATATGTACTCAGTACTTGGTTTGGGCCCCTTTTGCAGCACTTAGTGCAATTACTTTTGCACAATATTCTAATTATTCGAGGTTTCACCTGTAATGCCTGATGAGTTCTTAACTACTATAACCACTTACATGTAACGCCATTGCTGCCTAAAGTAATGTCGGACAAATCCCAGGATCCAGGTAGCCAATACTCCTTCTGCAGATGGTGCCTAACTTTCCAAGTTCTCTCTAGTTCTTGTCAATGGAACTGGCTCCTAAAAAAGTCCTGATATGTCCGGTACTGGACAGACTGGCTCTTGAATTCTATATGAACTTCTCCACAGCTGGCCTAAAGTATAGCCACCACCATTGACTGGTCACAGCCGGCTCTATGGTATGCTGAGGAGGTGCACTGGAAGTTGGAGCAAGCAGTGGAGATATTCTTGCCATTATATTATCATCCAACTGAATAGCTAAAAGGCAAAATCCCCCATGGATTATGTGAGGGTATGGAGGCAAAGTTCCAAAGTCAGGGAAGAGTTCAGACTACCTGCAACCTGACCAAGTTTGGGGGACCCCAGTCACTGTCGACTCCCAAGCACTGCTGTTTGTAAAATAAAATTCAGTGACAGGTTCTCTTCTGCCTCCTAAAAAAAAGTAAAGACAAACCTTTTTCTCAGCTTTGTTTCACATTATAAAATGTACTGTGACCCAAAGTCAGCAGATAGAGGACGAACGCCCACTATATGCTGACAGCACAGAGCCATGTTACAGCCGGGGAGAATTGTCAGGATTCATTACACCTGCCTAAGTGACAGCTGAATCTGCCTCTCATAATCCAAAGCCAGCTGTGCCCGCCCCCTCCCATGTCTGTCCCTCCAATGAGTGCTGAAGAAACAGAGGGGGGAATCCCTGCAGGGAGTAGTGACTGGCAGGGAGAATACCATGACCTGACCTATCAGCGGTTACATGATCGCTCAGCTCTTGCTCTTAGAGCCAGCTTTGGACATTTGCAGAATCCCGACTCTATACTGCAGGGAGAGTATGTTTTACTCTCCCTGCACTTTTCTTTTAACCTGCCCACGCTAGAACAGACCTATAAAACCATTATTGCATCCATTGACCAATGTAATGGTAACGGCAGGTGAGACAGGAGACACACATTCCATTACATTAGATCGCTACACAGAACAATAAGCTGAACAAGTATCTGAAGCACTTTGTGCAGTGTGATGAAACCTTGTGGCATTTACAGAAATATGTGTACTTCCTGCTGATAAGCACCTTATTATGTCAATGGTCATTACATTATGATCATCAGTCAACACTTCGGAATGTTGTGTGGAATATGATCTACCGTATAGGACATTTTGAATCTGTTCTTCAGTAATACAAGACATATACTCTCATTAAATGGGTCTTTCACACAGTTTCTGAGGAGTGCAAGGCCACTGGATGCCCTAGGAACAGCTACAAGATAGACTGACAGAAATCTATAAAAATCAGGTATATTATTATTGTACTAGAGCTGATACTGTGCCACGCTATGAAAAGGTGAGACATCAATTTAAAATGATTCACAACACTCCAATGAGCAGACAGCCGCACTGCTTTAGCAGAAAATGGCAGGAAAACACCCGCTGAAAATTTCAGATGTGGAGTTGATGAAAGGTAAAATTAAAAATAACATAAATAAAAGAAAAAAAAAAAAAGACAGCAGGCCCACACTATCTGCCAAAAGTGAAAAAAAAAGTGCCAGCGGAGTATGAAGTAGCATCACCAGAGAACAATAACCAATATGGGGTGCAGGATGGAAAGAGAACGCCACAGTACTTCCTGACCAAAGAGCGATTAAAGTGAACCTGTGATCAGATCATGAATAGCAAAGTATTTACAGCAGTAAAAACGCTTTAAAACAAGTCCTCATTACAGTCCCTCAAGAAATTGTCCAAACGTTTCTTGAACAAATCTACACTCTTGGCTGAAATCACTGCCGATGGCAGTGAGTTCCAGACCTTACCCGCTCTTACTGTAAAGAACCCTCTTCGCCCATTGTGCTGTAATTTTTTCTCCACTAACTTTAGGTGGTGGCCTCTAGTCTTTGTAATTGAGTTAATCTCAAACAGTTTGTTGCCAATGTTGCTGTCACCATTGAACATCTTGTACATGAATCATATCCCCCCTTAATCTCCTTAATTCTAGTGTAAACATGTTTAAGGTCAGAAGCCTTGTCTCATAGCACTGCAAGCTACCATTCAGTTTGTGGTCTACAATGACCCCCAAATCTTTTTCTATTTTTGACTTCCCTAGCGGCATACCCATGATTGTATAGCCTATTTGTTTATTTTTATGTCCAAAGTGCATTACTTTGCATTTATCGACATTAAACCTCATCTGCCATAGTATTGCCCACTCTCCTATTTTATCCAGGTCCTCCTGTAATGCTATATTGTCACGATCCGTTTCTAGTACCCTCCCTATTTTTGTATCGTCTGCAAACACGGAAACATGGCTATTTATTCCCTCCCCGATATCATTAATGAATAGGTTGAACAGTATCAGACCCAGCACAGATCCTTGAGGAACACTGCTCATTACACTAGCCCAGTCCGAAAAGGTGCCATTTACACATACTCTCTGGACACGTTCCCGTAGCCAGTTCTCTATCCACGTACACACCACCTCATCTCATTCACCTTGGTATATAGAAGCATTCTGGAGAAATACATTGATCACAACACAGACAGCAAGCTTTTCTATGAGGACAGATCTTGGCAGCCTGACAGCCCTCTGCTGTAAACAAATGTGTCTAATATGTAGGCTATCCACTAGCACATTAAAACTCAAGGAGGTCCGGTAAATACAATTTTCATTGAGCTGAGGTCTGAATCATGGTCCAGACGGAACGGTCACTCAGTCCGTACCACGGTCCACCATTTACACTGCATTGACACCAGCAACTGCACTGAAATGCACAGCTGCTGGTGTGTGTTCCCAGACAAAGTGCTGATGTGTCCATCAGGGCGCATCACACGGTTTATTTTTTTTTGGTAGAAGTGCCCCCCCCCTCCCTCCGTTTACATGCACGTCTTATGCAGCAGGGTTGTTTTGTTTTTTTCCAATTTTCACTTACTGTTTGCTATCACAAAGGGGCTAAAAAGCCCCTAAGTAACAGTATTTGGAGACAACAGGTTCTCTCTATGGAAACATAAAGGGTCTATTAGATCTCTGATGTTTTTCCAGCCCTCCAATACATATCAAGCACAGGAATGTGCTTAATAGTCTTTATACCCGCCACTTCAGCCGGCTTCTGACAGCTGAAAGCACTTTATGCTTCAGTGATCACGGAGCAGATCAGAAAACGAACGTTCCCGGGTCTGCACACACTCTCCATCCTGACACCGTGTGTTGTTTCTCCATCCTATGTGCCGTGGTTCTGGCCCCCCCAGAGGAGGCCTCGGAGGCTGGTGTATCCACAGTCAGGCAGCCATAACCCAGCGAGGTCAAGGATCACGATCTGCCAGATCGGCCAGAACTGCCACTCGGACCGTGATCCACCATTTAGTTACGGCTGCACTAGTAGATTTTTTTCTTTTAGTTCAGCTTTTGATCTGAACAAAAGCAAAGTAGAACAGATTGCCCCATCTATGCGAAACAGTATGGATGTGGGAATCTCCCCCTGTGACTATTGTACTTTGACATGCCCTGCTCCACCAACCTCATTCGGCTTGATAAACTTCTAGTGAAAATTGTTGGAGGAACAGTGCCTGCCGTCAATCAGCTGTAGTCCCCCGTTTGGTTATTCAAGCAGCCGCACACCTACTGGAATACAATAGCCAGCAGCAGGAGATTCCTCCACCCACGCTGTTTAGTGTGGATAGGTGAAAAAAGCGATTTTCTCTCATTCAGCCTGCGAAATGTTTATGGCTCTCATCTTAACACTATATGTGTCACTCAGGATTATACAGAGATACAAACAAGATAAAAGTATTTACCTTCCTTCCCACATACACAGGTATCCCGATGATCATTGCAGGAATGGCAATCCCGGCTATTAAGGCGATGCCTACAGGGGCCCCAACGAGGGTTCCCAGCTGCCAAAGGATCTTCTTCTTCCTACTCCATGGCTTCTTCCCCCAAAACGTACATCCTGAAGGGCTGAGGGACACAACAGTGACACGGGTGAATACACCTGCCATGAAGAGGCTTGATTTGCACCAAGCAGTATAGGACTAAAAACAGAAGGAGATATTCGTCATTTAGATTTCTGATTATCAAAACTTCCCCAATTCTGTAAAGGCACATAAAGGTTTTTAATATGCTCCAGCCAGCACTTTTACACACAGCTACTATGTTTAATGCTGGTCCTTACAGCGAACCTGCACCGAGAGAAAGTTGTAGGCTGCCTGTGCTGACCTTCTAAAGATGCTGGTTGTCGGGCTGTCTATATCTTCAGTGCTTTCTTACTTTCACTGATCCCGAACAAGCATGCAGCCAGTAAAGTCGGGTCTGCTGATCTGCATACCTGTTCCTGGCCAGAGTACTGAAGCTCCTGAAACAACATAGCAGCTGGGCAACTAGCATTGTTAGGAGAGGTCAGCAATGGCAGCCAATGTGTTTCTCTTGTCAAAAATGTACTTTAAAATAATAATAAACAAATAAAGCGAGCACAACTGGATAATGGTTTGTACACAAGGGCCACGCACAAGTGGTTTCTGGAAGCTTTTAACAAGCAAAGCTCCATTGTTCTCCTAAGCACACAGAACAGTTTGTACTTCTACAAATACGCCACATGCGGTGGATAAATACGGTCCCGGACCTTATTACAGACTAGAGAACTTTATCGATCGGGTGACAGGAGTCACGCTAAAGAACAATGGAAGCCTGGCTGAAGATTTCCAAAACAGACAGTCTGAATTCCAACCATTCCCCTCCCAAGTTCCTCTGCGATGATCATTCTCAGGACAATCATTACTTCATCATGTCATCAGAAACGGAATGACTCATCTAGATAAACAGGTACGGAAAGGCAATGTGGGGCTGTTGTGCGATTATCTGCATTTCCTCGTGTAGAATGACCCTGTGAGGGTGTTTGATATACATCACCATCTAGAACTTTGAGATTTAGATGCTTCTACAGTTTTGGACATGGTACGGAAAGGACAAATCCTAGGGCTCGGTTTTTAACCAGTTCTTGAATGAGTGGGCCTTTTTAAACGTCCTCACCCGTCCCGCTCATGCGCGATGGCTGTTTACATACAAGCGTTCCGGTGTCTGTAGAGCCACCGGATCGCTTGTAATATGCATGTGGGGGGGGGGGGCCCCCCGCCGATCCCG